GTTTCCTGTTCTCTTTATTTATTTTTAATTATTTGTTAAATTTATTTTCTGCCTATCTTGCCATTGGGGCTACTCTACGCAGTTTACAAGAATAAAATGGAAAAAAATGAAGAGTGTAAACAGATAGATCATAATAGAACAATAAAATAAACAATGAAAAAGAAGACAATGCGAATACACCAATAGGATAACCAAAAAGATGGATGATGGGGAACAGAGAGCAAGGGGTGGGGCGAAGAGATGGAGTCTGCCATCAATTCAGCAGCCACCTCCAGTATGGAACTCCCCTATCTGATCCGCAGGCCAACTGGCAGAGCCAGGTCTTCAGGATCTTGTGGAAGGATGAGAGGGTGAGGCAGGTCTTACCTTAGGAGGTATGATGTTCCAAAGGGCTGGCACTGCAGCAGTGAAGGCTCTTCTTCTGGATCCTGATAGAATTCTTTGACCGACGAGATCCGATGTAGGCCCTCTCTGCCAGCATGAGTAGGACAGGCTTTTCTTAGCAGAACCAGGCAGTTCATCAAATAGTCTGGAACTATGCCTTAAAGCTATAAAGGTCATAACAACACCATGAACTACACTTAGCAGCAGACTAGGAGCCCGTAAGATTCATGGAGCAGAGATGTAATAAGGACAGAAGATGCAAGATTTATATAGGAGCACAAAACTTCACCCATTTTATTTGTTCTTTTGGACCTTAAATATTTGGGTTTAGTCTAGATACCCTTCAATTTTATTCATAAACACCTGTTCTTTTAAATATAGACTCTCACTAAATTAAAGATCTCAACCGGTTGAGGAGACTACCTCAACATTTTTGTCAGATTATCCAGGCATCTGGAAGAGCAGCATTACTTGTTCTGCTATAGAAATTCTGTAACCAAGAACAGATCTCCCAGAAACTATGATTGCATTACTAGTTGGCTGCTCTGTCCAAATGCTACCAATTGTAATTTTTAATGTAACAAGAGAGGAAAATGATTAAATATATGATGGGAGAGTAATCATATCAACCAACTTTAATTAAATTTAATGAAATGAATAGAATTTATTGCCAATCACTGCCTCTGGCACCCCATTCAAGTCAAATATTGCGATAGATAACATTTGCGTGCCACTGCAGGAGCTTCAGAGCTGAATGGATTTCTTGCTCTATTGAGCAAAGCACTGGATAGGCACTCTAAGAGCTTCTCTAGCTGCATTCCTAATATGACAATGTACACCAGAGTACTTGTCGAGCCCAATGTCTTGCTTTTTGTTGTTGAGGTTGCTTAGTGTGACCTTTGCAGGTTCCTGGCCATTGAAAATTGGCAGAAGTTCAGTTCAAATACTTGATCACTCAGTGATTCTTGTCTCTGTCTCTGTCTCTGTCTCTCTCTCTGTGTGTATGAGTTTGTGTGCCTTTGAGTCAGTTTTTGATTCCCAACAACTGCCAACTCTAGTTTTCTTGGCAACGCTTTTCAGAAGTGATTTGCCCTTGTCTACTTCCTAGAAGAACTCCTCTCTCTGAGAAAGTAACTTGCTCTAGTTGCTAAGCAGAACTAGAACTCAAAGTCACCCAATTTCTAGTCTGATTCTTTAACAACTACATCAGACTGGTTCTGCAGTGCTTCCTCTTCAGTGGCAAAATGTACTTTGGATGATATGGGGGAATTTATGTAGCATTACTCTGCAGCTGAATCTTTTCCTGGGATTACAGGGTATGCATCTTGCAACTGCTTGGAGGAATAAGAGGACCATAGTTTTCTTGGCCATTTCTGACATGATCATGAGTTTCATTCTCTGTCTTCAAACTTGCATAAGTCTGAACTATCTTTCCTATATCCCATGTTGTTTAAAAAAGATGTAACTACTTGCTTTTTTTTAAGGTGGGGAAGAGTTGGGAATTATACGCATCTTCAATCCCACTCCCCATATCTAAAAAAAATAACATTTGGTGATGTGGTTATTTTAATTAAAAATGGGAATGGCTCCTTCTTTAAAAGCTTGATGCAATTTGGAAAACAATGGTTCAGATATCTTTGGGGCCAAGTGGATTATACTGATGTGAAATTATTTGTTGAGGTTTTCAGGAAATGTTGCTAGATATCTTACTATTGGATCAGTTGTCACCCTAAACAGATAAATAATTCATATGTAGCAGAGATTTATAGCCACCTTGAATGATTACCCTCTCAAATGTTTTCTCCCAAATAATCTCCATTTACCTTTGTTCTGGACATGGACAAACGAAACCACATGATTTAGCATCTGACAGGACATAAGATAAAAGTCAATAAAAAGAGAATATTTTATTAAAAAGATCTAATGTTACAAGAACAGTACACAGGAACCAGTATTTTACTGTGTCTTTCACATAGTATATACCATTATATATAGTAAATATATACAAGTTGTATACAAGTATTCTAACATTTTTGAGTTGGACCTTGTTTTTGGTTTCTAAGCCAAGATTGTATTTTTTCCCTTCCAATCACGTTCATTTATTAGGACATTATACAAAAATACAGTCTTTCTAATTATGTTGGACTGTTTTGTTACATAGCAATCCAAAGAAACTGTAAGGAATGAATTCATGTTTGCAGTAAACAAACCCACAATGACAACAACAAATTAGGAGCATGAGGTGGAGATGGTTTCTTTGATAAACTAATAAATATGGTAATATGGCAATAATTAAAAAATAACATTGCTTATTAATAGGCTGTAGATGCAAAAGCTAGCTTCTGTCCAGGCACATCATATACCCGTCTATCTGTAGTGACCCTAAATGAGGCTGACTTCAGGGCAGTTAAGTAAATCATGGCCACTTAGATGTACCATGTTAACCAAGGCAACTGCTGCTCTGCTTATGGTAGTCTGCTACAGTAGATCTTACTGATGACAGAAATACAAAATATTATTGGTCATGAACACGGATGCTGAAGTGTGTTGAGTTCACATTGCTGGTGATGAAATGACAAACATGTCTATAAAGAATTCTAGTTCTCTTCAAAGAGCTTTTCTTTTTAATATGCCATTCATCATTATCCTGAAAAATAAAAACAGAAAACATATGGCTGATCATAATGAGTGGCTGATAGTGATGGGTAAACGCTAGTAGGGTGTCATTAGGAGATGATTTATGGGCAGAGGCTATAAGACTACAAGTAGAGAAGGAGATGTCTGCTGAAATGCAACATGGCCGAATGATCACAATTGAAGCATGCCAGATAGCACAACTTAATTGTACTGAGACCTATTAATATCTAGAGTCAAATACTAGAAGCCAATGGAACTTAGTAACACACGTTTAACTTAAATACCATTGATTTCAACAGATCCAGTTTTCATCTGGATTTGACTTATTTCCATCTAAAGAACCCTCCTTCTGAATTCAAGTTTATTGTCTAAAATTAACTTACTGGCAAGTTCAGGGTTTTAAAATATTATTTAAAAAAAAACCCTCCACAAACTCATACATGATAAAGTCCTTATGCTGATAGTAATGAAATCTTTTGAGCTAAAGAGAAACAATGTTTTATGTCTTGATATTGATAGCTCATCCATTTGCTGCTTTATACTACTAGCAATGATTCTGCACCCTATTTTCAGAACACTTTTCTAAGAGCAACTTCTAATTGAAAAGCTATCTAATACAGGTGAGCTTTACTGCTAAATACTAAGAAAAATAGAAAGCTGTAGCTGTAAAGCCCATCAATAATTAGCAGCAAAGTTGAGGAGGTATATAGATATAGTGGTCATAGGCTTCCCCACTATATTTTGTAATTTCCAATCAAATTATGTGCATCTCCATGTAAATGTTACAATATGTAGATTTTAGTAGTGTGGAAGTTACCAACATAGCCCTGGTTTGATGGTTATGTTTAAGTAAGGCACTGATTATGTTATCTAGTTGGGTAATGAAAGCAAACAACCAACCAAACTCAGAGAGCACCAAGTACTCCAAAATCCAACCCTGAGTACAAATATTCTCTTATTGGTAATGGTTAAGTGACCACTACATGTTGGGAAGGATGCAGTAAGATCTAGGATGTTCTAATAATCTCATCAGAGGTCTAGTATAACCTAGTAATGTCTGGAATTGTCATTCACCAATCCCATCTGACAGTTTTGAAAGGCTCTATATGAAAATCTAATTTTCATTGGAGGAGTGGTAAGCTTCTGATATACTTTGATGATGTTTATCTTTTCATATTTTTAAAGTCACAGCTGGTTCAACAGCAGTGACAGTGAGGGGGATTTTGGTGTCCTAGTGCAGAGGTCCCCAACCTTTTGGGCACCAGGGACCAATTACATGGTGAGAGGTTTTTCTGCGGACCGGAGGGGGCATGCTTTTGTGTGCTGCCTGCATCCCGTGGATGGGGCTTTGCTTGTTTGTGCAGCCTAGTTGCTGGCATGCCGCAGCCCGGTACCAGTCCATGGCCTGGGTGTTGGGGACCTGTGTCCTAGTGGACAACCACTTAAGTATGAGCCAGCAGTGTGCTGCAGCTGCCAAAAAAGCCAGTGCAGTCCTAGGCTGCATCAAAAGAGGGATAGTATCAAGATCACATGAAGTGCTAGTACCACTTTATACTGCACTGGTAAAATCAAACTTGGAATATGGTGTCCAGTTTTGGTCACCACAATACAAAAAAGATGTTGAGAGTCTAGAAAGAGTGCAGAAAAGAACAACAAAGATGATTAAGGGACTGAAGGTCAAAGCAGGCAATGAACACTTGTGAGAACTGGGTATGTCTCATCTATCAAAGAGAAAAAATAGGGGTGATATGATAACTGTTGTGGTTCCGACTAATGAAACATTCCAAAGAACTTCCAGGCATTTATTTTCCTAAAAGTCTTTTATTGTTACAAAATGTCAGCACAGGCACAATGGAGGGATGCTAGGATCTAAGTTCTCTTCCTCTGAGCAGTTAAATTATCAGCATGTTCCCTCCCTAAATTAGCCGTCATATCTCACACTATCCAATTAGTGTGAAGGTCAAATGTTTTCTTCCTCTTTCTTTCCCGGGCTTTACCCCCAACGCCCCTTCTGCTCTTTATTAACCCCAAAATTCTGCATATTGTCAAAAGCAAGAATATACAATATTTGCAGTGTTGACAATAACAGTCTTCCAATACTTGAGAGGTTATCATAGAGAAGAGGTGATCTACCTATTATCTTAAGCACTTGAGGGCAAGATAAGAAATAACAGGTGGAAGGTTATCCCAGGAGAGAACCAAGCTAGAACTAAGGAGAAATTTTCTGGCAATGAGAATGGCTTGCCTCCAGAAGTTGTGGGTGCTCCATCACTGGAAATTTTTATGACTGAACAGCCATGGTATGGGTCTCTTGATTGAGCAGGGTTTAAACTAGAAGTTACCCAAGGTCCTTTCAAATTCTATTATTCTGTATTCAAAAGCAAATTCCAGTAATAGTGGAATGTACTGTCAATACAAATTATTGGTTATGCAAAGCCAAATCTCTGTGTGTCTATGAATAATATTTTCCACCACCTGCATTGGGAAAATATTTCTCTAGTACATTTCTTTTACTAATTTTACACCATAGGGCTTCCCCTCCCCCATTGCGTCCCCACCCTGTCTCTTGGAATAGAATGGTTGAAGATAATAGGAAGCAGGGAAGACCACTATAAAAAAAACAATCCAGGATGCAATTATTTGGGTTGCGATTGAGAAAAAACTCAGCTTCTCTTAAATGTAATGTAAAGTTCCATTACAGTACATGTTCTGGAAGAAAGAAAGCACAATGAAGCTACCGCTAGATCTCATAAGTATGTGCAGGGAAGCTTTATATTAGCATTGATTTATTCAAATTCTCTGGCACTATCCATTTTCTCATGAGCCCTTTTCAGACCTTGATAGAATGCCTTGGTACAGAAGTAGTTGCATATGAGAAATGAGAATATAACGTGCACGGGCACTTAGGGAGAGGGTAGGAGCAGAGCAGGAGAAGGAAGAGGAGAAGGAGGTGATGGAGGAGGATGATAATGAGATGATGATAAGAACTAAAAGTTGATCCAACACTACAGGTTGTTTTGAAGCTAGGCCTTGGATATGGAAAGGTTAAAGATTTTGACTCTTAAGCCTGAGAACATTAAAAGCGTTTGCCCAACCATATCATTTTCATTTTGGACATTAAAAAATGTCCTTGGTTCATATTAAGGACAATCTAGGCAAGACCACATTGTTCCAATCTTGAAATGCTTATTGATACCAATTTGCTAAATCACCAAATATAGACAGTACAGTACCATACAAAAATGAACTACAAAAATAAAGGTCTAAAGACAGGAAGCTGTTTGGGGAAGACAGCTTTGTCTCTCTTCATTAATTTCATACTTGCAGTTAGCAATTGCTGAAGACTCGGATTAAGTGTCAAACAATGATTTCAGTAACATCTGTGCTCCCTATCATGTATAGTTACGCTTTTAAAAATAAGCAATTTTTCTCCCTTATTGTAGTGGACAATATCTAATACAAAATGAGAGGCCTCAGTTTTATTCTCAGTTCAGTATGTTTCAGATTTGCTTGGATCTGGAAAAGTGCCTTATGATGTGCTTGGAGAATACAAACGGAGAAGAAAACAGAGGAAAAATTACTGTACCATACCAAAGATCATAATTATATGGGGTTTTTTTTTCATAAAGGCAACATTAACTATAGTCATTTTTGAAACCGGGTCACATCATGGCATTTTTCTCTTGACAAGTAAAAAAGTAAAACAAAACTCAGCCTTCTGAGAAGGGGAAGGATAATTCGCTAGAATCCAAATAATTATTTTTTTCATAAAATTGTTAAAATCTTTAACAGTGCAAACAAAATGGACGCACTGTTTCAGTCATTTAATTTACTAAGGGTATAAGACTGGTGCTAGCTAATATGGATACAGTTAAAAAGGTAAATAAAATTTGATGTAATTCCCATTAGTTTACAAAAGTTTATATCAAAGAATCTGCATATTTTCTGTTGGGCAAAAACATCCCCTACCCCCAAAGAGGACATTTATGGAAACCAAAGAGAAGACACCTGGTGGATTATTTTTGTGTTATTTCGTGCCTGCAATATTCTTCTTGATGCACTAGGCTGCATTTCTGAAACATTCCTTTGATATGTGTGTGGAGATTATCAGTCATCCAGGTCATAGTTGTCTCAAAAGTGCTTTTTCAAAAGGCAACTGGACTATTTTTTCCCTGAGGAAGAAAAAGAAGACATTTTGCTTCTCATCCAAGAACCGATGAAGCTTTTTGGACAAGAAGCGAAACGTCTTCTTTTTCCTCAGAAAAAAAAATAGTCCAGTTCTCTTTTGAAGAAGCATCTTTGAGATTCCTTTGATAATTAGTCTTCTGCTTTCTCTCTGGTTGTGGAACTCCATCCGTTGGTGCTACCATACTAAAGCAACCAGAGAAATGAGAAAGGTCTTCTTTCTTTTCCTTCACCATGACGTTGAAGGGACCATCAATACCAATAGAAATGTTACAGTCGATGAAGAAGTGGTAAAAGCATTTAGCCTGGATTGAGAATTTGTGACTTTTCCACCTGGTAGGATTGAAACAAAACAAGAAGAAAAAGAATTAATTATTACAACATTTTGAAAATGGTACTCTTGGTTATACTTATTTATTATATTCCTCTGTTTCTGGATCAGACAGATTCAGGATGGTTTACTGAGAACTTCAAAATGCAGTAACATTATAAAAATGAAACAATCAAGTAAAACAATAGTCCACAAAATATAAGTACAACAAGACAATAATCCTACCCACCAGGCCTATGACTGCAGTAACAATAATTGCACCATCACTCCTATGAAAAAGTTCTATTCTAATGGCCTTCAACCCTAACTATCTATGGAGATTCCAGGCATCTAGGTCAGGCTGGCTGAGGAATTCTGGGAGTTGAAGTCCACAAGTCATAAAAGGGCCAAGTTTGAAGACCCCTGATCTAGGTCATAGTTGTCTCAAAGGTGCATTTTTTTTCTTTAAAAGGCAACTGGACTGATTTTTCTTGAGAAAAACAGCTTCTTGGCTGAGAAGTTCTCAGTTCTTAACCAGAACTGATGAAGCTTATTTTCCTCAAGAAAAAAACAGTCCAGTTGCCTTTTGAAGGAAAAAAAAAGCATCTTTAAGACTTCAATCCTAACATGTCAGTATCGCGGTGTGTGATTCAATGACAACCTGTGATGAATAGCCTGTGATATAGAGCTTGACATTGGAAATACTTAGAACATCTAAACGTACTGTATTAACAGTATATCAAGTCTGATTGGTCAAGTCTGATTGGTCATTAGTAGAAATACACGGAGAATTCAGTTTTATAGCCTCACACTCTATAACAGGGGTCTTCAAACTTGGCCCTTTTATGATTTGTAGACTTCAACTCCCAGAATTCCTCAGCCAGGCACGCTGGCTGAGGAATTCTGGGAGTTGAAGTTCACAAGTCATAAAAGGTCCAAGTTTGAAGACTCCTGCTCTATAAGATCTAAGTATGGTGGCAGATTAAGAATGTAATCTAATTATGATAATTATCTTACCTGAAAAAGATGGTATCCTGATCTGGCTGCTTGGTGTGCCATCTCCTCCTTCACTCACTGCACAGACTTCTATGATATAGACACCTACATCAGGGAGAAGCACCACTGCAGATGTTTTCTGGGTTTCAATTACTTGGCTATTGCTGTGTCCTTCTTGCCTTAACAAGACCTGTTGGAGAATAGGGAGAACTGTAGAACTCTAGTATTCAATCAGTATCTAATTCAAATTCAGGAAAATAGCAACAGAATAAACACTTGTAACTTAGGATTTATTTGACTAATGAAGGTTCTCTTTTAGTATCTTCATATGAGTTCTATAGCAGAATAACAGAATGGGAAGGGACCTTGGTGATCTTCTAGTCCAACCCCCTACTAAGACAGGAAACCTTATACCATTCCAGACAAGTAGTTGTCCACGCTCTTCTTAAAAACCTCCAATTTCACATATTGGCCCATTGAGAACCTTTGTTTGCTAAAGAAACCACAACAGGATGGATTTTATTAAGCTTGTAAGCTAGAAACCATATTTAAAATTGAAATAGCTAGTTCATCATACCATAAGCCAAAACCAATAAACCCATTATGTTTTAGTGTGCTTTGGAGATTAAAGAAAAACAATGGTCCTAGGAAAAAAAATGCTCCCCCCTTCATATATTTTAACAGAAGTGTCAGAAAATAAATAAATAAATAAATAATACTGAATATACCATATATAATATTTTTAATGTGGCCCAATAATGATTTCCAGCAATTCAAGAAAGTTGAAATCTTGCAAAGGGCCCTTTTTAATAATAATAATAATAATAATAATAATAATAATAATAATAATAATAATAATAAAAACAGCTGTTTTGAGCACAGATTGCTGGATATCCCCAACATAATCATAACAAATCTCTATGTTTACATTTTTGCTCTATAAAAATATTAATTTTAATGGCATTTATGGCATAAATGGCATTTATGACATCCTTGGCTTCTGCATTTCCTTAAAACCTACTGCAAATATTGTCAAATTGAAGTGTTGGTATGGCTTTTGCTGCAGTCTGCTCCAATTAATGCCAGATGGGGTAGTGTTAACAACATCAAGCAGCACATATTGCCCTGTTTATAGTCCCTGGTGGAGGATCGGTCTATGCAAAATATAGTCACAAATTCCATTCAGTTTTAGTCTCTCCCTCAAGTAAAAGTTGCTGCTTTGTTTGAAGTCCGTGTTTCAATGAAAATTGTCTGCACTGGGAGGATAGCATTTGTTAGAAGCTGAGACATGGATGGATATGAATTGTTCAGGGGAACGACCTGTTGTCAACTGCAAAGAAAAATGCTTTTATAAACACTCGCAGGATTGTACAGAGCAAGCTCCGCAAGATGCAGGACTCCTGGCTGAGTGCCAAAGCAGATGAAATCCAGAAGTTTGCTGATAGAAATGATGCCAAACGATTCTATGAAGCCCTTAGATCCCTGTATGGACCTCAGCCCTTAGGAAGCTCTCCTTTACTGGATTCGAGTGGTGCAACTCTTATCACTGAGAAGACCCTGATTTTACAGCGTTGGGCTGAGCATTTCCACTCTGTGCTGAACCGCCCATCCACCATCAATAATGAGGCGATAGCAGAAATGGCAAAAATTTCTGCTTATTTAAAGGATCATACACAAGAAAGATATATTATTGTATGGAGAAGATGGATAGATTATATTCAGAAAAAGTATGGAATTAAAAAGTTTCATTTATTTTATGAATGAATATTAAATATTATAGAGAATTGCTTTATAGGTTATGGAGTTAAAGGTTAATTATGATTTTTTTTCTTTTCTTTTTTCTTTTCTTTTTTTTCTTTTTTTATTATTATAAATTTTGTTATTATTAACCCTGTATTCTGCTCTGGGAAGTGAAGGGAGGGGGGTTGGGGGTGGGAGGGAGGGTAAGGGGGGGTAAAGGTAGTATAGACAATGGTTGCTTATGAATTTATTTTACTTTAAAATTTTATTGTACTTTTATAATGTTTGTATGTTAAAAAATAAAAATTTTCAATAAAAAAAAATAATAATGAGGCGATTGACAGGATACCCCAGGTAGATATGAACTATAGCCTGGATGCCCTACCATCAAAGGCTGAAACCTCACAGGCCATCAATCAATGTTCCAGTGGTAAGGCGCCAGGATCTGAAGCAATCCCAGCGGAAGTCTATAAGGCTGGCGGTGCTGTGCTTGTTGAAAAACTTACCCAGTTGTTTTGATCTTTCTGGAAACAAGGTTCCATTCCTCAGGAACTGAAAGATGTGTCCATTGTGCACCTCTACAAGAGGAAAGGAAATCAACAAGTCTGCGATAATTATAGAGGAATATCACTTCTCTCTGTTGCAGGCAAGATCTTTGCACAAGTGTTGCTAAATCGCCTGATTGACCATCTGGAACAGGGTATACTACCTGAGACACAGTGTGGTTTCCACAAAGAGCGTGGCACAGTGGACATGATATTTGCAGCTCGACAGCTCCAGGAGAAATGTCAGGAGCAGAATCGTGAACTATACACCACCTTCGTGGATCTCACCAAGGCTTTTGACACAGTTAGTCGTGAAGGACTATGGCGCATTATGTCGAAGTTTGGGTGCCCTGACAGGTTTATTCTGATGGTACGACAGTTCCATGATGGTATGGCGGCTTGTGTTCTGAGTAACGGTGGAGCCTCAGAGGCCTTCTCTGTTACTAATGGCGTTAAGCAAGGCTGCGTGCTGGCACCAACCCTGTTCAGCATGATGTTCTCAGCCATGCTGTCAGACGCCTTTTAGAACAGCTCAGTGGGAGTTAATCTGAGGTACAGAACCGATGGGAAACTGTTCAACCTGCGAAGACTTCAGGTTGTCACCAAGGTAAAGGAGACTGTGCTACGAGATCTCCTCTTTGCTGATGACTGTGCCCTTAATGCAGTATCGGAGCAGGAAATGCAAGCCAGCATGGACAAATTCACAGCCGCTTGTGACAACTTTGGCCTCTTCATCAACACGAAGAAAACTGAAGTGGTGTACCAGCCAGCTCCAAAAGCCCAATATCAAGAGCCTATCATCACAGTAAAGGGACAAAAGCTGCAAGCAGTGGACCAATTTACGTATCTTGGTAGTACCCTCTCCCGTGCAGTGATAATTGACATCGAGGTCAACTGTAGAATTGCCAAGGCAAGTTCTGCATTTGGCAGATTGCGGACTAACGCGTGGGACCGCTGTGGAATAAGTCTTGCTACCAAGCTTAAAGTTTACCAGGCAGCAGTGCTAACTACCCTATTGTATGCTAGTGAGACCTGCACAGTGTACAGGAGGCATGTTAGGCAACTGAACTACTTCCACATGACTTGCCTTCGTAGAATTCTGAGGATCCGGTGGCAGGATAAGATAGCAGACACAGATGTCCTCTCCAGAGCAGGTCTATCATCAGTTTACACTCTGTTGATGAAAGCCCAGACGTGCTGGGCGGGCCATGTTGTAAGGATGCCAGATCATCGCATCCCTAAACAGCTCTTCTATGGTGAGCTGTCTCAAGGAAAGCGATCACACGGGGGACAAAAGTAGCGATACAAAGACACATTAAAAGCTTCTCTTAAGTCCCTGGATATTAACACCATCCCTTGGGAACTTCTGGCGCATGATCAACCGACATGGCACACCTTGGTGTACCAGGTTTGCCAGACATATGAACACAGAAGGACAATCTTGGCACAAGAAAAGCGAGCAGTCTGCAAAGCCAGAGCTGCAAATGCTAAATTAACAGTGTCTACATTTCTTTGTTCAGTATGTGGCAGAACATTCCGTGCTAACATCGGTCTTATTAGCCACCTACGGACACATCGTTGATGGCCCATAACACACAAGATGTCAAGGTCTTCATTGAAATCGATGGACGAACAACATCACATTTGGCTAGGCAGGGCTGCGTACCACCTGCCACTTGTTAATGTACCACAAGTGGTATGCGTACCACTGGTTGAAAAGCTATGCTTTAGACTGCTGGTCTGAAATTGGAGCTTCGATTCAGGGCCTCCGGACTTACCTCCGGCAGCCGGAATCGATCGCGGATGCCATTTTGGTTGCCGACAAAGGCAACAAAGTCCGATTTAGCTTGTTTCTTGCCTGCTGTCTGGAAGCAAGATCGCTAGGTGCAATTTCGATGCAGCGTCTACTGCTGCTATTGCGATCACCCCAGCCACCTGGATCTTTGACTTTGAGGCTGCGGATACCTTTCTCAGCAGAGAACGAGTTGCGGCCGCCATTTTGGGGCCGCCGATACAGCCAAAGAGCTACGAATGGCCTTCCTTTGGCGTGCTCAGCACTCTGCCCCATCAGTGGCTCAATTTGCACAGTCTTCTTTAGAACTTTCAATTTCAATTTAACTGCACTCCTCTGGGCACAGTTAGATAGATCACCTCCTGACGGCCGCCATCTTGAGTGCCATGTGGGAGCTTCTTTAGGCCCAATGAGGCCTACTCACAGTAGTTGGCCTGACCTAGGCCGCATCTGGGGTGTGTCTCTCTTTTATCACACATCATCTTCTGCAATACAATACAAATTGTGTAGCCGCCAGTTGAGCCTGATCCTTCCTTGCCAGAACCTTTTTTCTTTTCAGGCCCTCTGTGCCCTAATTGGGGCTTTCCTTTTTACTGGTGCACCTTGACTGGCTACCTAAGGCCTCTGGGCAGAGCCCAGATCAGGTCCCCAACCGTGCCTTCGGCATCTGACTCAAATTGCCGAGACCAAAGCCCAGATAGAATTTTTTTCTGGTCAGGTGGTCAGGGGAGCAGTCTTGTTACTTGTTCCAATCTCACTTCCGCCAACAGCTTGCCTGCCAGAGCTTCGTCTCAGTTTCCCTGAGACTGCTCACCTAGGATTGAGGACACAACGATGCCTCAATCCATGAGCACTGCCTCCCCATCCTCTAGTTATGGCCGGCACAAATCCTCTGAACAGGAGGCGGCAGGCAAGTCCACATCTAAGGCTAAGACCACTCTCAAGAAGCCTTCCAAGTTGGCGGAAAAGCAAGCCAGCCGTAGGCACCAGAGACAGGCAGGATTAGAGACAGATCAAATGGCAGTTCCTGAATTTGATCTTCCTTTAGGCCCTTCAACCTCAGCCCAAGGTGTGTGGTCTCTCACAGGGACGCCTACCACACTTAGCTCCCCTTCTGTATTGGCTCAGCAGACAACAACTGCCTCAGGCCCAGTACCAGAGGCTACCTTTACTCACTTCCACGGACACCTGATATTACAAATTATCCAGTTTGGTCTGTCCCTGGAATTTCTGGCCAGCCCCCTGGACCGATTCATTACCTGTCCCATGTCCCGGAATCCATTCAAACAAGGTCTCGTGCAGGAGGCCATTCAACACCTTCTAGAGATTCAGGTTATAGAACCAGTACCGCCAGACCAAAAGGGAAAGGGATTGTACTCCATCCTCTTTGTGGTCCCAAGGCCTCTGGGGGATGGAGAGCGATTCTGGACCTCAAGAGTCTAAACTATTACATCACTTACAAAAAGTTCAAGATGCAATCGCTCGAGTCCATCCTGGGGGGCATTAGGCAAGGAGACTTCCTGGCATCAATAGACTTCATGGAAGCGTACCTCCACATCCCCATCCATCCAGCTTACTGACAGTTCCTCAGGTTTTGTTACAGGAGCAGTCATTACCAGTACAAGGCCCTTCCTTTCGGCCTCTCCTCAGCACCCAGGGTGTTCACCAAGGTCCTGGCCATACTAGCCGCCCACTTGAGGAAGGTACCAATACACGTCCAGTGTTATCTGGACGACATCCTGATTCAAGCGTCCTCTTTCCAGACAGCTCAGGTGGACCTAAAACTCACCATTCAGGTCCTCCAACAACATGGTTTCTTGGTCAATTTCCAAAAAAGCCAGACGGTTCCCTCATCCAGGTTTCTGCACCTGGGAGCCATCATAGACACCACAAACTCCCAGGAGCGATTGGTCAGTATCAGGGATCTGGCTCGTCAAGTATACAGGGGCCGTACCGTTCCACTGGTCTTACTCTCCCAGCTCCTGGGAAAGATGGTTTCCTACATAGCCATAGTTCCCTGGGCCAGGCTCCACTTGTGGGACCTCCAATGGTTCCTTCTACCATTTCAACGGGTGAATGCCAGCACATCCAGCCATCAGGTCAGGCTTCCGATTCACATCCTCAGATCTCTGCGCTGGTGGTTCTCACAAGCGGTGACCAAGGGATCACCCTTCAAGGAACCAGACCATCACAACGGATGCCAGTCTATTTGGTTGGGGAGCCCATCTACAGTCTCAGTTTGCACAGGGCCGCTGGTCCTGCACAGAACTGAGACACAACATCAGTTGGCTGGAGCTCAGGGCCATCCACTTAGCTCTTCGCCAATTTAGGCACTGAATCAAGGGATGTCACGTTCCGATCTTCACAGACAACGTGGCGTCCAAGCACACATCAATCGTCATGGGGGCACCAGGTCCAGGACCCTTATGTCCGAGGCACAGCTCCTGGGTTCCTGGGCAGAGTCCAACCTGGCCTCTCTCAGGGCCGAACACATCTCGGGGGTCGAGAACCAGCAGGCAGACTTTTTGAGTTGCTCTACGGTGGACCCCTTGGAGTGGGGGTTGCATCCGGATCTGTTCTCTGAGATCTCCCACAGGTTTGGCCATCCGATCCTCGACCTGTTTGCATCATCAGCCAATGCCCAACTCCCCAGGTACTACTCCCACTATTTTCTTCCAGGCCGCATGGTCTCCTCTATGCCTTCCTTCCCCTCCAACTCATACCGGTGACCATCCGCAAGCTACTCAAGGAGCAGGCGGAAGTGATCCTCGTGGCCCCATACTGGCCACAGAGGCCGTGATTTGCCGACTTGGTGAATCTTTCCCGGTCTCCTCCATGGAAGATTCCTCCACATCGCGTGTCCTTACACCAGGGGGCCCTCCAACACCCGAACCCTCAATGGTTACAGTTGACCATCTGGCACTTGAGCGCAACATCATGACACAAGAATTATTTTCCACCTGTGCAATTACCATGATTCAGGCCTCTCGTCGCCCAGCGATCAACCGCATTTATGATTCTACTTGGAAAACAATTTGTCATTGGTGTAGAAGGTGGCAACTGGATGTCTACAAATTGACCATCCCTCAGATCGTAGATTATCTTCTGGATGGTCTGGACAGAGGCCTGGCCCCTGCGACTATTCGTAGACAGGTGGCGGCCCTGTCAACATTACTCACTTGTGCGGATTCAGTCCCCTTAGCTCACCATCCTAGGATTTGCGCCTTCATCAAGGGTGCGTGCAACACCAGGCCTCCCGTGGTACACAGGTCCCCTCTTAGGAATTGCCTCGCGTGCTTCGCGCTCTAACAAAACCATCCTTTGAGCCCATAGCTACTATTCCGTTGCAGAACTTGTCCCTTAAAGTTGTATTCTTGATCGTCATCACATCAGCAGACATGACCTTTGTATCTTTCACAGTGATTGGGTGGTCCTTCGTCTGGACCCTGCCTTCGTGCCCAAGGTCAACTTGCTTTTCCATAGGGCACAGGAAGTCATTTTGCCAAATTTTTGCCCCAATCCTTTCCATGACTTGGAGCAGCAGTGGCACACACCGGACGTCCGCAGGGCACTGCGTTGTTACATGAAGCGCACGGAGCCTTTTCGTAGATCTGAGGCTCTATTTATCTCCTTCCATCCGGCTTCTCTAGGACAGAAGGTTTCCGCTGGCACTATTGGCAGGTGGATCAGGGCCTGTATCGCGGAGGCGTACCAGTCCTCTTCCCTGCTGTCTCCAAGTCATCTTACTGCCCATTCCACTCGCAGTGCGGTGACCTCTGCAGCATGGGCAACTCAGGTGTCCATCGAGGAGATTTGCAGGGCTGCAACATGGTTCTTGCCCTCCCCGTTTGTACGCCATTACAGGATTGACCGCTTTGCTTCGGCGGACGCCTCCTTTGGTCGGAGGGTCCTTCAGCAGATGGTCTCTGGGGACACTTGTTGTGGCCTTATCTGTTTCCCACCCATTGGGACAGTGAGGCTTTGGTATATCCCATTGGTGGATTCTCCATCTCCTGTACTGAAGAAGGGGCGTTGTCTTACCAGAACACCTTTTCTCAGTACGGAGATGGAGAATCCACACCTGCCCTTTAGGTCAGTTAGGCCGAATTTAAGGGATCGAGAGCCAACACCTTGTCCACCTTCAGCCACTTTCGCCCTCGTTAAGACTGGATCTCCTAGCAAGAGGGTGTGTGTCAAGTTTGGCTACTTGGTCTCAAGAGCAGGCAGATAGAGAAAACCATTGGTGGATTCTCCATCTCTGTACTGAGAAAAGGCGTTCAGGTAAGACAACGCCCCATCTCTGCTTCCTAGCTGACGGAGACAGCACTGTCCGAAGACATTTCTATGGTTATGTGACCAGCATGACTATATGTTAAGGTGTATATAATGCTGTTACCTTCCCACAGAAGTGGTACCTATTTACCTACTTGCATTTGCATGTTTTCGAACTGCTAGATGGGCAGGAGCTGGGACAAGAATGGGAGCTCACTCTGTCACACAGCACTTGAGTCTTGAACAGCCAATCTTCAGATCAAGCCCAGCATCTTAATCACTAGGCCACTGGGCCCCACATTCACTTAGCTTGCCCCTATCCCCATACCACTACCGTATGACCATTCTCATCTGTGCCTAGTTTTCTAGGCATTCATTCTTCTGGAACCCCTCAAATGTGAAATAGTGATGATGTTGTAATCCTAAGTATTTTTGCTGAAAGAAAAGAAAAGGGTGGGGGAAAACCAGAGAGGGAGCTGGTTAGTAAATCTGGCAAACTGACCTTGTATCCCATGACGTCGGACTCATTAGCTAAAGGCTTTACAGGCTCCCATCCTAAGGAAACATGGGGACCATCCTGAACCCACATAATGTTTGGTGCTTGACTAGGTGCTGAAAAAAAAAAGAAAATAAAATGTTAGAGCATTTTGAAGAACTTTTTCAAAAGCTGGGCGGCAGGGGTAGGAAAGAATCACTTGCTCTAAATTTAATAACTACGGATGAATTGTTACATTTCCTTTTGCTGTTGCACATAGCTTTGTCTTCCAGAAAGATACTTTTTTGTCTCTCATGAATAACAATAATAGCTATACTCTTTTTAAAAGAATGCATGTCTCTTGAAGTGGGGTTATGGATTACGCTAACAACAAGTCAAGTGTCCCTTTCTTGGTCTTGTTATTTGATATGTAGCTAAACTAAAAGGAGAAAAAGGAGAATTGGAAGGCAAAAATTGGTAGCCTACGAGATTTCTTAGTGGCCACATGGACAATGTTGCTTGGTGGTCCATAGCCTGCTGAGTTGTATGCCTTCACTCTCAGGTGGTACAGGGTGTTGCCTTCTAGCCCTGTGAGAATGACAGAGGACTCATTCCCTTCTGACCTGGCCTTCTCCTCTGCTTCTTCTTGTTCCATATCTTTCCAGTAGCCAACCTGCCAATGAAAGACAATGGGTTGAGTAGAGATCATTTGTAAAAGACCCCTTCGCACTTAGGGTTACTCCTACTATTTCTAGCCTACGTTACCATATAATGTTCTTTAAAATAGATCCTCAGCCTTAGGAGGAACTTTATTTTTTATGAAACTGACAATTCATTATGAGGTAAATGTTGATAGCAGTGAATTTGTATGTTCATGGTTGCCATCCTCATTATTGACTTCTGTCTATCCACTTGACAACAGAAGGGAATCGGATGGAATTTCTCAAATAATTTATTTTTATTCAGGGGCTATTAGTTGTTGATCTTCACTGTAATCAGTTTTTTTCCATCTTTTTGTATCTTCTGTCCAAATATACTCAGAAGCAGAAAGTTGTACTCCAAACATATCTAGAAGATAAGTTTGGGCAGATAGATAGGTTGGTAGGTAGGCAGGCAGGCAGGCAGGCAGACAGACAGACAGACAGACAGACAGACAGACAGACAGACAGACAGACAGATCCAAATGTATAAGATATAATAAGGCAAGATTTCACTTATAGCAAGAAGCATTCAAAGCTGAATGATTTAAAATCTGTACCCAAATCTACAGAGTGGAATCAAAACTAGCCTACTTATATTGGATAATTTCTTCCAGTGCTTTTTTTGAAAACAGGTCTGTGCAGAAGAAGACTATTGATTGGTAAAGACTACCAGCCCTAGTCCAAAAGCTGTGTACAACCTGAAATAAGACCCCCAAATTTTAAGAAAAACCATTTGAATGAACAAAAACCAATTCAGCATTGGAAATCAGTTTTTATTTATTGTCATGAAGAAGGAAGGCCTTTATCAGTGACTTTACTAGACACTGGGGAGTTTCATGGCTGAATGTGATCTTGAAGATGAGTCTCCTATATCAAGCCAACATTAATTTATTTAATTATATTTAATCTGTTCTTCCTTCAATTAATTCAGAATGAGATGCATTGTTCCCCTCTTCATTTACCCCCACAATCCCTGCATAAAATATAAAGGACGAACACAAGTCTTATGTCAACATCTGATATAACTAAACTGGGCTCATCTGCCTCAGGAAAGTTTAGGAGAGGTTCAATTTTGCCTGTGCTACCCTTAGAAATGATGCTGCAGCTATCAGCATCTTTTCCTGGCTGATATTATAAGTGGAAGGTAGAAATTGAATGTTCATCATTTTATACTTCAGATAACTTAACATCAATGGGAAATTCAAAATGGTGACTACCACTATCTACTAGCTTGCAGGAAGAATGTATAATGTATGGCCAGGATCCACTGAAAGATAATGCTACTTTTGCTTCCTTACATTACATGTTATGATTCCCTGGCAGTGGTTTTCCAAATTATTCTCATATCTAATTTGAAGAAGTCATAGATCAGATGCTCTGAGTTTGGGGTATTTCCCTAGATTAGATTGAGATAAAATAGCTAGTGAAGTCTTTGATACTCTTTGAGCTTGGTTGTTTGCTTGCAGATATTTCATTACCTGATATAGTGGAATGTAGTCTGAAGTCCTAGGGGGGAGAGGCTGATTTCAAGAGGGCAAAGAGACAACAGAATTTGGGAAATTTGATAGGCAGGAATAGAATATCTGTAATTATGCAGATAGTTGCTTCAGTCTGTCAAGACTGGTGTCAGGGCTCAAGAATGACACTTTAGTTTCCTTTATTGCTCTTCACCTATAGACAGAATCTTGCCACCCTGAAGCAACTATCTGCATCTCTCTTCCCTGTCTGTCTAGCTATCTAGCTAGCTATCATTTATCTAGCTATCTATTTTTAATCTATCTAACTTCCTGCCTACCTATATGAACTGCTGGAGCCATCTTGATCCTCTTCCTGCCTACTGAACTTTTAAGCTCTGCTGCCTCTTTGCCTCTGGGAAGCAGCCCCTCCCCTTGGGACCCCGGACTACCTTCCACTATACCCAACTATGTAACATTGTCAGTCCTAGTGAATGGGGCTTGTTAGAAAATAGACCGTTGAGTAAACTGAGTGGTGACACAAAACTGCAGTTTTAGCTCACCATTCTAAGCACTACCTCATCCCTACTCTTCTGCCTTCTACGTTCTGTTATTTCTGTCATTTATAATGCTTTCTCTGCTGCCTCCTGCATAAAGTAAATAAGGATGAAACAGAATGAGTGCAGTCAGGAATTCCAAAGCAAATTCAAAGTCTCAAGGGTAGCCCACACTGGTAGGTCTTCAAAGAAATCTACTATTCATCCTTAGCCCTCTTTGACTGAATTCAGTGAGGAAATGACAGAAACAATATTTCCTTCCCTGTCAACCATAGTGCTCAGAAGCTCTTCATCCATGTAATGAATTGGAGATGACAGAACACCTGAGGAAACATTGTAGAGGTCTAATCATACTGAACCAGCATCGCTGAGGGACAGAGAGAAAGGGAAAGGATTTGATTTGTGTTACTCTAAGAGAGAACTGGTTCCTGTTGAGTGTAATTCAGGGAAAAAAACCCTCTCTCTGGAATACCTTCTCTTCCTTTCCACACAAGGCTGAAGTAGTTTTTGATGTTTACAAGTCTGGCTGTCAGTGTGCCTTTTCTGAGCTTCTCCTACTCTTGGGATTATATGCTTGCAGCATATGAATACAGAACAGTTCCCTTCTAAGTCATTCAGTGCAGGTACTCTCTTTGTACTAGATGTTATGCAAGGTTTGTCTCTATGCTTGTGTAGTGCAACAAAAAAACCTCTTTATTTCAGTGTGAATCTGAAATTATTCCTATCATGTGCATGCAATACAATTGTCACTACATTATTTAGGTGTCTACCTAAACCACACCTTTAAATAAGACTAGTCTTTGCTAAATTAAGAATGCCGTAATGGAAACCATTTCAGTAATGTGACCAAGAAAACTGCAGAGAAGCTGTCACTGGAAGCTCAGCTCAGGTAAAAAAAAAAGTCAATATGGCTATCTGCAAGAGGGTATCAAAAATGTTGAGAGGTGGCTGTGATACTCCATTCCTTATGTGTAGCACATGTGCAGCACACTTCAAAAAGGGTGAAATTTGGCTGTGCATTTGCAACCATCATCTTGACTTTTTTTGGCCCTCTTATGGATAACCCTAATTTTCAAATGGTTTTGCAGAAATTCAACAGGTCTCACATTCCCATATTCCTACTTGATCTGGTGCTTCCCAGACATATTCAAATTGCAACTTCCAGAACTTTCTGTTTTCAAAGATCCTCTAGTCTAGTATCCCTTTGCCAATCTTGGAGTTGATGCTGCTTGTCTCTTATTCAAACTAAGGAAAAGACCAGAGAAGGAGAGCAAAAGCAAAAGACCACCCTACTTTGCTTTGCCAGCATAAGTCCAGGGACACACAGTGCCCTGTGTCAAATCAACCTGCATAGGAATCCTTTATTAATTTGTTTATTAAATTTATTTGGTGCCTATCTTGCCGGGAGGCTACTCTAGGCGGCTTACTACAGTAAAAAGGAAGAAATGAAAAGGGTGTGAAGAGAACAGAAGTAATAGATAACAGAACAATAAAATAAACAATGAAAAAGAAATACAACTCTATGATTACCAAGAAAGAAAGATGGCTAGGTAGAGAGTAGAAGCAAGGGATGGGGGAAGTGGAATCTGCCATCAATCCAGAAGCCACCTCCAACATGGAACTCCCACATCAGGCCAATTGGCAGAGCCAGGTCTGCCAATAAATAAATAATTTTATTTATTGCTTGTTTTGATGATATTACACGAAACACTGGAGTGAAGCTATTGTAAGGCAAATTGTGCTAGACTCAAAAAGTTAGATACAAGCTGGTGGAAACTTAGCAAGAGTGAGTGTAATCAGGTTAGAAAAAAAGTTTGTAATTCCCTAGCTTTTCAGTTCCCTTCGTGCCCTAAATTCTCTACAGAGGTTGGAATTATGAACTTTCTAGAGAAAAAGATTTATTGTAAATCCTTCAACATTACTATGCTCTGAAGGTTTTTCCCAAAAGAAGTATTAAATATACTTTCTTTTGGGAACAGGCAACAGAATTTCATTTGTTAATGTGGGTCAGTGTGCTCACAGAAAAAAAAATGACAATAAAGGTTATCTTATCTATCTTATCTATCTTTCAGTTTAAGCCATTTATTTATTTATTAATAAAATTTATTGGCCGCCCATGTTACCACAAGTAACTCTGGGTGGCTTACGGTCACCAAAATGTATTTATACAATACATTAAAACATAAATAAATTTCAGCAAATATTGTGGGTCCAAGTAACAAAGGAAAACTCAAGACTGTATTGGTTGGAAACATGCAGAAGAGGCCTTCATCCTGCAGCATATAGACAATGGCTAGAATGATGAGGATGAAATTAAATTAAAACTAAACATTGAAATCTGATGACATATCAGAGGGGATGGAGTAGAAGGAGTTGGGATCTGTTTTTCCTCGATCAACCAGTTCCCCTGCTCTGTTTCACAACTGGAAACCAACTATCAGAGCCAGGTCTTTAGGCCCTTACAAAAGGTTGAGTGGATTGGGGCCACACCTCACCTCAGGGAGCAAGAGATTCCAGAGGGCAGGAGCAACTTCAGAGAAGGCCCTTTTCCTGGACCCCGCCAGCTGGAATAATCCGGCTGATGGGACCCGCAACATGCCTCCTCTCCTAGCATGAGTGGGATGGGCCAATCCCAGTGGGGTAAGATGGTCCCTCAAGCCATGCTCTTTGTTATGTAGGTTGCATAAGAAGAAAACCACCACTGCTTCTAAAATCAGTCAAAGTGCAACACCTATTTTTCAGGTAAAAGGAAGCAAATTTGGATAGCAAAAAATGTTTGGAAAACCCACAGGAAATCACCTTGTTGATAATATGCTTGCATGAGAAAGATAGGAGATATGAAAGTTATGCCTAACATTCTAGGGATTAAACGCCTTAGTATAATGGGTAATCCAATCCTGACTGAATTATTTGGTCTCCTTTGCTACCAATATTTTCTAAAGATTTAAATCTTATTTCAAACAATGCTTTTAGCAGATCAGGGAGAAAAGGAGCCCCCCCCTCCCCTGCGCCATTCAGACAACCCAGATTATATTTTATATAAATACCTCAAATCCCTGAGGCCTTCCTAGGCTGTCTTTGTTGTGACTCCACGCAACAAGAATCTCTGATACAGACAGTCCTGTAGCCTTGACATCAGTAGGAGCAGCACTCGGTTCTGCAGCAAAAAAGAATCAAAATAATAATGTTTGGCCAAAGCAATTTGCATCTAAACAAGTAGATTATTCTTCCCAATCATCTCTAATATTGGTAGGGATAAAACCTCTTAGCTGTCCTGAGCATTAAAAACGTAACGCTCTAAAACCCAATTGTTTTTCTTTATGTTATATCTCATAATCTTCATGCCATTCATCTATCTGGAAATCTGATGCTAGCAATCTCTTATGCATATTTCTTGGAAGCTAGCAACACTATGGTGGACACAGTATGGTTGAGATGATTTATTGTTGGGTTGTAGAAACAATGCAATATTTTTATCCCACATTTCAGCAAAAAGGTGTTCGCAGCAGCCTGCAATAAAATGCATTAATGTAATCACAAAAAGGAATACTTACAGCGAAAGGCTTTTATTAACATTCTATTGTTATATTCTGAAGAATGTAGGTAGAAAATAATGTTTGTCTTTCCATTCATTCTGTAGACTTCAATATTTTGTTCTGTTTACAGTTTTTTTATTGTGAGAACCATCAAACACGAAGAAGCCAAGAAAGCTACAGAAAAATCTAAATTTTGTGGAACAGGATCTTGAACTGAGCGTTCTGATTGAATACTGATGGAGAAATGATAGCAAATTTGGGATGGAATGTCCTGGAGGAGAGCAAAGTAAGAGGTTCTCCTTGATCTTGAGATAAGGTATATACAGTTAGTCCTCAACTTGCAACAATTCATTTAGTGACCATTCAAAGTTACAACAGCACTGAAAAAGTGATTTTTCAGTTACTTTTCCAACATCCCCATGGTCATGTCATCAAAATTCAGATGCTTGTCAACTGACTCATATTTATGCTTACAATCTCTTTGGACTGTTGCCTTCTGGCAGAAGATATAGAACATTTAAAACTCGGACACACGTTTTCTGAATAGTTTTTATCCCAGAGCTGTAATTGCACTTAATAATGAACTAAAGGGCCACCATCAGTGAACTGTTGGACAGTATTACTTGGTCTGTTGGGTGGATGTTTAGGTGGTTTTAGGGGTGGGGAATTGTGGTGTGTGTGTGTGTGTTTGGAGATTATGTGTGTGGGACCTGGTCTGTGGGTGTGACATAAATTTCATTGTATGTATATACTGTGTATACATATACAATGACAATAAAGTTGTTTTTTTATTATTATTATTATTATGATGATGATGATATGATGATGATGATGATGACTGTTGCAATGTCCCAGCATTGTGTGATCACCTTTTGCAATCTTCTGACAAGCAGATGAATGGAAAACCCAGTGATTCACTTAACACCTGTGGCCAGAAAGGTTGTAAAATGTGACAAATGTCTCACTTAACATAAATTTGGGGCTCAGTTATGGTTGTAACTCAAGGACTACCTACATTGTTTTACTGTATATGCTCTAATGACTCTTACAAAAGAAATAAAACAAAATATAAATGCTGAATTAAAATAAATGTAAGGAGAAATTTTTGATAAAATTTTAAATATAACTTCTAAGACAGCAAAAAAAAACCCATCCAACTGTATACAATTATAACATTAATTCAAATCAAAATCGTATTACAGATAGTCCTCATTTAGCAACTACAATTGAGACTGACAAATTGGTCGCTAAGCAAAGTGATCATTGAATGAAACCATGACTGTGCTTATGATCTTACTTCAGCTTTCCTTTATTTTACAGATGTGTGAAGTCTGTACTTGAGAAGATTGGACACAGAGTTACTTTTTATCCCCATTGTACCTGTGGTCATTAAATGAGGCAGTCACTAAACAAGGATAACTTCTATTATCCAGCCTGAAATGTTAGAAACTTAGCTTCAGTAAGAGTAAAATTAAATTTCATCCTGCAAACTTTCAATATGAGAGAGTAAGAAAGAAAGGCATTTCATTGGTTTTATATCTCAATTTAAACAATGACCAATTTCTCATTTAGGGACTTGTTTTACACAAATGACTGCAAAAGATAAATAAGAAAATTATTTATGTACTGGGAAACTGAAGTTCACTTAAATTATTTCCATATAATTTGTTAGAAAATAATGGTACATGTATTGTATTGTATCGTATCATGTACACATTAGAAAGAACTACAAGAATTAGGTGGTCAGCAGGGTGAAGGCATGAGGGAAAAAACCATCCCTGTGTCTAGTTGTCTTGGCATACAATGCCCTATAAGGCTGTCCTGAAGGAAACAGTTTATGTCCAGGATGAGAGGGGTCTGTAGATATCTGCTCAGCCATAGCTTACTTAAGAGAAATTATTAAACAAAGCCATATTTTGCCATATTTTGCTTCCTGGAACAATCACTTTAAATGGCATTTGCTTCAACCACATCAACTAATTCCTAGGTTGAACTGATCTTGAGCCTATGAAATGCATCAGGAAACTGTCCAGCACAACAGTGCCATAGTCAAACATAAGATGCCTGGTTTACAATGTATTTTAAGCACCAACCTCCATTGGTGCTGCACCATTCTTCCTAGTTCTAAACTTGAGCAAACTATTGTCATAGACTGGATTCACTGAATCCCTCTTTTTATCCTACGGTTATCAATTGATTTAAAATGATATGACCCCAGCAAAATTATTTTTCTGCAATGTTTGAATAATGTGCAAAGGCCTGGCCTTTAATAAGATAAACCTGGGTTACAATTAAATATATCATCTCACCAAAGTTCTTTTTTGAACAGGAGGACTTTTTTTTCTTAATCTGTGTACAAGTATTTGAGAGAAAAAGGGAATACAGATAGCTTTTCAATAACACTCTGGGAATAATTGAAATTAGGATTATTATTTTTTCCCAGCAAGCATTGAACCATCTATTCTGACTGATTTCTACAATGGGCAACTAACAGGGCACAATCTGCATGTGGCTGCCTCAGACATATTTTCTGTAGTCCATGAGAACTTGTCCACTGAAATTTGATGGCAAATTGCTAAATTGTAATTGTTTGTGTATGTGTGTGTGGTGTTCTTCTGCAGACTTATGGTTAACACACTGTTCTTGTCTAAGCCCTCACAGATATAGCCCAAACACAAAAAGGGTTAAGATAGAGAGGCGTGGTGGCTTAGTGGTGAAGACGCTTGCCTTCCAGTCGGAAGGTTGAGAGTTCAATCCTCGGTAGTGGCAGAAGTTTCTCTCTGTTGAAAAGAAAAAATATATCCTGAAAACTCTGTGTGGCATCCAGTTGCCTCAACTCTACTCTGAATGGAGTTTACTGAAAAGTAAAGTTGATAACCTTTCAACAAGAAGAGCCCAAATTGAGATTCTCTTTCAACATACTACTCACGTTGCCCTTGCCCTCTCTTAAACCAACTTACAGCAGATAAAAGAAACAAACAAGGAATAAATGGGGTTGCAGTTTTCTCCCCTGATGAATTTTAATTTTCAAAAAAACCTGTTGTTCAGTGCAGAAAAATTTGCTGGTTTTTATTTTTTAATCTAAGCTTTCTCACTGAGCTGAGCATCTTGCCTGGGGGCTGGTATCTCTCCTCACCTCTGCAGTGCAAAACATTCGTTTTTTCCACGATACAGTAAATGAATTCCCCTGTTTTCGTAGCAGAAAACAAGAAAATATTATGCAGTAAAAGAAATAATGTGCTTCAATATTTTCCACCAAGGTACGATTTTCTAGGCAGCAGGAATACCTTGTTTGCTATTTATACATTTAAATTTTGTGTGTTGTGAAAGGCCTGCATTGGATTTTATATCACTGAATCAGTTACTTTGCTGTCAGGAAGAGTTGCAGTGGGATAAATAATTTGTGACCTAGACAAAGCGATGGGTGGCAATTATCTAAAAATGTACAAATCATTTCCCTTCCATACAACAGTATCGTTCAGAACTGAGGTAAATTTATTCCCCCCTCCCCCCTCCCTCCCTCCCTCCCTCTCCCAATTGAAGCAGTATATTTCTTGTCTATGGAGATTCTCAGTCATTCAAGTCATGATTGTCCCAAAGGTGCTTTGTCAATAGGCAATTGGACTTTTTTTTGTTTTTCCTTGAAGAAGTTTTGCTTCTCTCGAAACATCTTCATAGAAAAACAAATATCTTCAAGGAAAAACAAGGAAAAGTCCAATTGCCTCTTGAAAAAGCACCTTTGGGACAGTATATTTCTGAATGTGTATTTTTCACAAGTTGCAAGTGTTTACTGAAGCTTCATTGATATTAGATACTAAATTGTAATTTTTATGAGAATGCACTAATCTATGAATAAGATAAAATATAAGTTTCTGAAAATGTGTAATTGATTTGGAATATATATTGAAATAGCCTGCTATTCCATATACTGCTGAATGTTGCATGACTAATATTAAAATTGAAATAGATGGATTAATTAGATTTTTCTCTAATTGTTGCCAGTGTAATAATCATAACTTTTTATTAATACATTAATAATTTCCAGCAATAGATATCTGTGCTGAATCCTGTGGATGAAGAGTTCTAATAGTTTATAACTAATATTTATAGTATGTTATAACCTCTAACATATTTCAAGCTATACCCCAGATGCCAAGATATGGAGTTCTGTATTTAGTGTGCAGTATTGAGTATCTAAAACCAAAGGAAAAACTGAATTCATTTAGTTTACCATTTAATTCTAAATGCTAAAAAAGGGAAATTTGTGATACTTCTAATGTAGAAAAAGAAATGGTCAGTTTCATACCATTTTAGCAATCATGGTTTCTTTGAAGTAATTTTGGATATTTCACTAAACAATTGTTTCTTGATAGTTGGCAAATTCCTATGCAAATGGAATGCCCATTAGATTTGTTGAACTCCACAATAGGAAATAGTTAGGAAATAACTAGTTTAATTTGCAATTTAATATGGTGAAAATATGTGTTCCCAGTAAAGTCACAATTGTCTGTAAGGTCATAAAGGGAGAGATGCAGTCAAAACTAATCCATAGTGGGGTTGAGGGCAGAAGGATCAACAGATCTAAGGAAACCGGGCCATCTAAGTAAACCTGCTAGAAGGA